ATACCAGATGACTTAATAACCAAACCATCATTATGATAATATATGGATATGGGTCCCAATAGGAATCTAAGGCCACGAAAACGATCTCCTAACCTTATTCACTTCAAAGTCCTATTTCCTCACTCTGAAAAGTGACCAAAAYACATACTCGCATCAGTTGCAATAACATTCAACATACAACTTATTCAATGAAATTAAAACTTCGATAGAGTGGTCAAATTCATCAAGAAATCTACAGATTCGAATTTCACGTTATGTATATTGATGATCACGTTAAATTGATTTGAAAATCGACGACAGCGATATTATCAGAAATAACGTACCGGCTGCGATTACGGATATCATATTTTATTTTTGTCCCGTGCAGAAGGTCACACACGAATTTATCAAAATACTAACCGAAGTGTGGTCAACGACCGGCGTGGGATCTAACGTTCGTGACAACCTTATGATATTGTGATTGCACTTTTATATTATTATTTTATATATAATAATATGAATAAAGACATCATTGTCGTCTTGTCCGAGACAGGAATACAAATTTCAATAATTTTTTATTCATTTTAATTATTTCGTTGCGCTCACCACACGGCGCGCGGTTTGTGTATATGTATGTATGTGCGTGTATGTGTGTGAAAGAGAGAGAGAGAGAGAGAGTGTTACGAACACAACACGTGTTGTACACGCGTGCACAGATATGTATGCATTGTTTTATAACAATATAATATTATTATGATAGTATATATATATATTATTACGAAGTTATCGCCGTGCGGAGGTGGACGCTGAAATCCAGAGCCGCACACTCCGTTGTGTATTAGTTAAGGGTGGTAAAGTGAGAAATCGACGATACGATTTTTTGAATTTTTCTGTAGTGACATTGCCGATTTTCAAAAGGGGGGGGGTAGGCAGATCGAGAGACCAACGCACACACATTCAATGCACGAGGTCATAAAAATATAAACTAATTAAATGTTCATTTTTTTTTTTTTTATGTGACCAACCACGAGCATATTAACTATTGCAGTAGACGTTTTGACTTACTAAATTATTGTTATAAAGAGAATAACAAGTATCATAAATTTCAATGAAGTGTATAAAATCTAATATTATTTACGGATAAAACCACTTGCGCCGAAACAATGGACTTACCTACTGGTAGGAAAAGCAACCGTGCCGATGACTGCAGAAACTGATGATYGCGGGGTCGAGTTTTCTAGTGGTCCGCGATAATAATATTATATGTGGAATGGCAAGGCATTTTGATGTGCTTATATTATAATATTATTAATACCTACAATATTATGCAAATTTTGCTCGGAAAGAATTTTGACAAATTTTTTTTTTTTTTTTTGTTATGCGCTGCTATGTCTCCAACGGAACCGTTTCAAGGGCTACGCGCGCCAATCCTAAGTACCCTCTGTTTTTTATTGTCACTAGAGTGAAGCAGCCAAAACGACCTTTACCCGAACTTGTCGTAATGATATCGACCTCCCCCCTCTCTTAAAAAAAAAATATATATTATGAACTAAGCGTTGCACACCTACGGCGAAGGATTTTTTTTTAAAGGTTCGGGTGGATGTCTGAAGAATATTATTATATAATATGTTCGGGACAAAAGTATATAAGTCATTACGAGAATGCACTTAGGGTTATTTTTTAAATGGCTTTTATATAGTAATTTATTCTATAACCAACTGCATTATTATTTTTTTTCAAACTTTAGCCCTTTGTAGGTCATTCGCGGAGTTCAATAATATATTATGTGTACACTATATAATATACCTATGGATAGTTCATAAAAATACCACTATGTACAAAGTACTAAAGGGGTTATGGCTTAACTTCTCAATAAAATTTTGAGGACACGATCAATTGCATACATTCACACATATACAAGCCCACATACACAAGCACACATACACTAGCACACACACAAACGATTAAGTTCATATAGTATTCTATTTGTTATAGTATTATATTAAATTGGATTGTTGGGATTCATTTGAGTATCGGTATCAAACTATATCAAAATAATATGGATACCAAATGTTTTTGTGTATTTTAATCACGTTATAAAAATTGTTTTTGAGCGACAGTAAATTATACGATTCCCGCCAAACTACTAATTATTATTAGTTAATATTTACTTTAATGCCATAATATTCTTATAAATTTAGAAACACATTTCGGTCGTCACATAGATTTTTACAGATACGTGAAATATTATACTAAATCATATGCTAAAAACAGAAAAACCATCTGTTTCTGTATTGTACTTGCGTACGCGTTATACGAAAATAATATCCAATACTATCAGTTATTCTTCTCTGCTTTTTGTCATCAAATGAAAACCATCAAACTCACAAAAAAATCCATGTACGAATATCATTGTAATATAGTTAGATACTATTCAGGCTCAACCCATACATAGAGACTTTAATATAAATAATAATAATAATAATAATAAGCATTGTGCTCGATCACACGTCCGCGATATTGAAATTTTATTTGTTTCGTAGTGCTTATATACGTACGTACTAAGTACTAAAAACGTATATAGTTCCCATTCATCATCTATTATATATATATATATTATATACATATAAATAAAGAATGAGTAATGACAATAATATAACCGTTCTCACCGATGAGTCCGATGGTCCGGTTCGGTATAGTACGACGAGCGTATACATAATTAGAATTCAAATTTTACTGGCGACGGATAAATAATATATAATGCATCGAGTTTATATACGATCATAGTCACGTCGCTCACAAACCATCGCGGATCTACGGAATGCATTAGAATAATATAATATTATAAAATATGTTATAACTATTATTATTATTACCATCACTATGATTGTTATTCCGTTAATAACGGTGGCGATTTTAACTATTCTGAGGTGCGCGACCAGCAGTGGCGTGTCCTTGCCCTAATTATGAGCCTTGTGAGAGACGACATATATCATTATTAAATTGGACGTGCGATTCGGGCCAGAGCGCCGGTTAGTATTCTGACCGGCCGACCGCGTGAGACCCAATACTTAACCTGGAGAAAATATTACGTATCCGATATACATATACATAAAACGAACACATATACGAACGTATATTCACGAAGACGTGCTCGATCGAATACCAATGACCGTGGCGATGGCGGGTCGTGGTTCTCGCACAAGCATTTGGCAACAGTTTATATTATTCTCATCGATCAGGCTGAACAGGCGTGGGAGAGGAGCACGAGGAATAATATACCCCTTAAYGAAAACTACGCGTTGCAGACATTTAGCGAAAGAGTTTAAAAAAAAGATAGAAAAGAAAATACATAGTGATAGAGCTGGAGGGAGAGACGAATTCATCTGTTTTACTTACCGGTCGCCTAAACTGTATAAATAACATATTGTAATGGAAACATTTGAATCGAATAACATCTCACTCCCGTACACAGAATTTTCTGAAGAAACTGAATATTAAATATATATATATATATATATATATACCTATATACCTAAGTAGTATTTCAGAATTAGTAGCGAAATAACACCATTCAATTACCTACAGCTGGTTATAATAATGATTTTTACGAAACAACGAGTTAGATGATTAAGTTATAAAAAAAATAATCGAAATCCCTGTGAATTCTTATACTGTGGTTTCATATCATACCTATAACCTAACCTAACCTAGCGATTGTTGTGATTACATATTATGAATTTGAATGGCAACAGATAACACAGATATATGAATTTTGGAAGACACAATAATTATAGTTTTTCGTATATTTTTAAAACACTGTGTAATCACGACCTATACAATTGTATTAAGTATACACGAACCATATATTATTATAATTAATTATTAAAGTTTAATGTTGGATTTTCACCTTTAATCAAATTATTAACAACTAAAAATAGTTTTTGATAGTTATATTACTAGTATAAATCTATAAAATTAAATTAAATTGCATTTTACCATTATATATAGATTATTTATTTCGTATAATTGTAATAAAGTCTTGTACCTAATATAACTTGTAGTAAATTGCATAAGTAAAAAGTTTAAATATATATAAACATAGAGAATTATGTAAGCCATATATTGATATATATTATGTTTGATAACATTTAGGAATATGTATTTTATATACATTTGCATTTTTATATTTAAAAAAAAAATAGATTACACCAAAAAAAAGCATCATAATCCTGTAAGTAAAATTGTATTAAGCATATTTTATAATACATGTATTATATCTATTTTCAATGAAATTTTGAAATTAATAACCAAAAACAAAATTTAGGTTTTTTAACATTCAATATTTTGGATAAAAGAATAGTTAAACTATTTGCTATCAATGGAAATGTTTTAATTGGTACATATAAAATTGTTTCATTTTTTATTTTAGCATAGTTATAAGTAATATTTAGACTCTAAATATTAGAGCATGCCAGCAGAAATATTTATATGACTTTTAGGGATAATAGATAATTCTCATCCTTAAACTAATAAGGTCTGTTTAATTAAGAAAAATATTATTATTGGTATACCTAGGGACGAATTTAAAACGAATAAAGTGTACCATTTTTCMAGATGACTATCTTTTAAGAGATTWAGAGCTATTTAGATATAATTATTATCCATAAAGTGCAAGTCCATCTTTTATGATCATTAGTCAATCAAGAGATATGAAGATTTAAAAAAATATTTCATTCACACAATTGTTATGAAAGGGGCGATAAAAGTCATAAAGTCATTTAAACTTTTCCCTACGGTATCAAAACTCTAAACATGTCATTAAAAACACTCCCATGGCTGATGAAAATATTTAAGTTATAACAAACCCATATAATATGACTGTATTACTATATAACGCTCCGTAAGGCTTTATTCCCAACAATTCAATATAATATAATATAATATTTATTAATTGTATTATTTCTTTTATTATTATTATTATTATTAGATTATATTTAATTTATTCAAAACGCGCTTACCGTGACTATTGATGTAATTGGCTAAATACAGGTCCAGCTCACGAACGGACACGTTGATGTGATAAGGGTTCACGCACAGACTGGGATGTGTGCACTCCGGTGACTTTTCTAACCGTTCTCCATCCGTGCTTTCGAGTGGAATCGCCTTGAACAGTATCACCATGACGAGGTCCAGCCGCCATACCTGTAACACGCGATTATTTGTCGGTTTTAAMAAAATTGTACATAATAATATCATCTATACGACCACAATATTATGTAAGCAAGAACGGATTAATTTTTTTCCGCCTATACAATAATAACGCTAACAATACAGTTTTTGCCGCCCTTGCCTAACACAGTGGCGTATTTTGGGTGATTTCTCGGCAGTGGGGCGAGGGGAGGTGTCGGACATTTAACGAATATACATATATTAAAATAAAAATAGTAAATTACAAAATAGATGATAACATCAATTTTGAGGCTTGATTTTAAGTCAGGGGTTGGCCAGACAAAATACGTCACTGGCCTGACCTAACCTAAATAACCTATACARTAAWAACGCACTTTATATTGTAGTATAAGAGTCATTCAATCATTGTTGGCAAGTGCGTAAATCCCAAACGGTCGATTTTCGTTTTGTATTCCATATTTTGATTGACGAGACACTTTGAAAAACTATACACAATCGTTGCGTACAACAGCGGTTCAGTCGTTTACAACCCTTGACAGATTAATAAGGGATGGTGTGGTTGTAGGGCATTAGGATAATATACGTTTTTTACAGATTGCTAACCACCGAAAAAATGTTACGCTTGGTTTGCATTTATATTATTATATTATGATCCTTATCAGCGCTCGGACAATATTTCCAGCCCTCATCATAACTCCCCTTCGTTTTCAACAATGCGCGTATACCAACGTAGCTCGTGTGTATGTACAAAGTGCGTCGGATGACGATTATGTTCAGCTAGACATTTGAATTAATTCGCCGATGACGTACCGAAATGTCAGACTTGTAATCAAACTTTAACACGTTTACTATGATAATTCCAATAGAGATAAGCCTATCTAATTTACAACTTTAATAAATTAAACAAACTATATTTTATGAAAAAATTTCAATTTCTCAAAATAGAAAAAATTCAAAATCACGAAGTTTGACTTGTGTACATTTTGTTAGAACCTCGGAAGAGAGATAAGAGATTTGGTCTTGGATAGGATCAGTTAGTATTTTTCAGGTCTAGAATTATTTTTTTTTTTAAGAGCCGTTTTGCAGAATCATGTATACGTATYGGAATCAAGAGTTTGAATTTTAAAACTAAAACACGAAATGTATACTTGCGCAGTTGCTTATGTTATTCTATAGTATAATATTCGTGATATAATACGAAGAGAAAAAACAATTCATTTAAACAAAAATACAAACATATTAATATATTGTTCTTCTATATAAGTACGATTTGAATTGAAAGGTTACTATTAATGGTAAATACAATTATTATGTCTATAGTTTTTACAACTTTATAAAGTGTTGAATTGAAAATCAATTTGCGTACACGGCAATTGAGCTCATACAATCTTCTCATATCTATCGTGTTTATCTATATTACTAAAAATGTATATATTACCGATCTATTTGGAAATGTACAAAAATTATTAATCAAAAGACAACGGAAATAAATTTAAAATGTAATGGATTTTGAATCTATTCTAAATTTGTAACATCATGTCATGAAATATATAAAACCACAAATATGAAGAAAAAAAAATGGAGTATGATTGAATGTCATAAAATATTATATTGTGTGTATATTTTGTTCTGTGGAAAAATAATAAAAATTCTTCTGTTTTTTTTTTACGAAAMACCTACGATATAAATGTAATAACTTCACATGTGTATGTATAATATATACATATAACACACGCACAGTGTACACTCAAAACACAGCAGGAGTGATGCGTTTTGTAAAATAAATCCGTACAACGACCTGACACTATATGCAATAATATATTACGACGCGAATAATGGCTACAATYGCTAAAGGTCAAATTCGAATTTTCTGATGACTTCCTGCAGCTACACCAAACTCGCTATGTTGTAAGTAATACTTACATAATAATACTATAGTACTTATTTGAAGTTTATACAGAGGGGTTATCTAAATATATTAAGTTCTCACCCCCTTCTTATGCATTTTTTCGAGTTCTGATTTTTAAAATTTTGAAGACCATATTTTCAAATACCTACGAATATTTTTTATATTAGTTAAAGAGTGAAAAGGGAGATTTGAGAATTACAATACTAAATATTAACCTATTAACGCTTTATAATCGATAAAAATTGTCTGAGTTTAAAATATAATATACTAGATCCTGSGATATTACATTTATTTTATATTTCAGTAAAACCGTTTCTAATGACAATCAGATACTGTCCATAGGTACTACATACATTTAAACAACTCAAAAATTAATCGTTTAATTTTGATTAAAATTAAAAATTTGTCATTAAAAAAAAATTGCATCGCCACAGGACTCTCTTTAAATGGTATATAAATTTAAATAATGGTAATTTTATGAGTACACACAAAAAAAAAAAAATCAAGATATAAGAATTTAAATTAATTCATCAATTAAAAAAAAAATGRGAGTCATCATGCTTGGTGAATCGTCCTGTATATACAATATATTTATGGACAATGGCTACGGGTTTTGTTTCAAACTACGAGTAGTTTACCGGGGTCGTCAATATTATAACATTATTTGAATCGTCGACGTAAATAACCGAATAATAAAAAAATAATAGTAATGATGTGGTCGGCATGCGGTATTTCCGTCGGTAGTTTACTAGTATAATATATATATACAGTACGCACACGGGTTAGGTGAAATAAAAATTGTATTTCACAATCAGCGTAACACTAAAATGTAATGGACAATAAATTTCGCTAATTGGATGCGACAGACACCTCGTTGGTTCGTAAATTAGCAGGCCACCTTCGATGTATTTCGCCCGAAGGCACATACGCACACACACACACACACACACTTATATACGCTCATGAGACTCATCGTGAACTCTGTTAGGTTTCGGTTTGGAGACAGCGAAGAAGCCGAAGACGAGCCGACCAGAGATCGAAAATGTATAATATAATTAGTTAGGTATTGTATTTTTAAACCGATTATTGCAACACTTTAATATATACGGTAACACTGCTGCAGTAATGAGTATCGGATTCGAAATTAACATTTTATAATGAGATTGGACGGACAAGATTGAGTGCAATCAAACCCAGAAAATGTGTTACGTCTGTAAGATTTATAGTAGATCGTAGACGACACACACACACACACACAATGTATACGTACTATATATGTACATTTATACATATATCTGAGTGAGAGTGTGTAATTTAAATCACGGTTTTAATTGACAATTCTTTCGACAGTGTGTATGAATGTTTTGGGTGTTGTCTTTCGGAGGTTAGCTGCATCAGTTGTACACTTTTATATTACCTATATATTATATTCCTATGGGCTATGACACAATAACGCATATACTTATTCAATTTCTTACGATTTTTGTTTTGAAATTAATAATACATTTTATTTTGTCATTGTACGTTTGGATAACGCTATTATATAATCACAAATCAGAATATTTTATAGCCATACAATACGTACGTTTTTTGTTTTTTTTTTTTACAATTGGTAATAAAACGCAAACATTTATTTTCGTTGTGTTGTTATTTGTGGCTGAATAATAACGTGCAAAAGCATAAATTTTGAATGTATCTATTTCTTATCATCAATTATTAGATATGTTTCGATAGTGGAAATAATAGTCTTTTAAAAAATATAAACCTGTGCCTACCATTTCAATGCCTGTCATCCTAAAWTAAGCCACGAAAAATTAGGCATAATAAATAACATATACGGTAAGTCGGTAAACAATATTTAATTTAGTAGTGATGACAGCGAATAATTTAGTCACTGGACGCTACGTCACACACATAATGAACTAAATTTGCATTCCGAATTTCCAATACAGTTCTGTTGTTTTTTGATATTATAGTAATTTACCTAATATTAAACTTAAATACGATAAAATATTATTTATGATTTCTTGTATTGGAAATGTTTTAGATATTTTAATTTTATAGCAAGTCAAAAAAAAACAATAATAACTTAAAAATTATTATTACTTTGTAAATAGTTCTTAAATAAAGTATCTATACCTATTGTTATTCACTACGAAGCATTTGTTGCATTATAGTTTAAAATTTATCTCGAATTTCAACACGCTACTTGTCATAATTTTTTGCTGCGTTTTGAACTTAAAATTATGAACGCAATAAATTGTCCAATATCCTTCATAGCAGTACCCTGAAGAATCAATATAATAGCAGCCGATAATAGAACAAAAACATGTCAAGCATAATAGATTAAGCACCAGAAATACTAAATTTGAAAATGTAGTAGAAATTTCTTAATCATTTTATGATTTTTATGACTTGAATGACCTTATGAATTAGTTTTGATAGGTACCATATAAATATATCGGATAATATAAGGTGTATTATATAGTTATTTACATCCAACATCTCACCATATACTATACGAAAAGTGKTATACAAGTTTTTCTATTGTGTTCATATATATTTATGGTAATAAAATTGTGCCATTATTTTAAAGAAAAAAAACTATACAAAGAAAAAAATTTGATTAAACTCCAACGAATTATTCACTGATAACTAAATGGGTTTAATAAATTTAAATAATTATTGATAAACGAAAGGTTGTAGAAGTTCAATTCAGACTCATCCACGTGGACGTCCAAAATTACCTTTCTCAAACAATCTAGTATAACAACGCGTAAATATAACACGCCATACATATTCAGGATTTTACAAACATTTCCGATATTCCGCAAAAACTTGATCGATCTCTGAGTAATTTGTATTATAGCAGTCTAATGACCTTGAGTGTACTTATTATTTCCTATTTATTYAAATATATACTTAAACAATATAGGTGAACTTATAACTGCATACATGGAGTTGATCAGATGTTCGCCTCATCCAATATATACCAAAATGCGTTTATCTCAGTGCGGGTGCAGGTGTATTGTATTGCATAATACATATGATATTATAACCACTAATTATTCATTATTTTTGTCGAATGAAATATAAACGTTGC